TGGCAAGGGAAGGAGGTTGCATAAAATAGGAACAAGTTGTGCTGGAGGGACAAGCTGGTCATCTGAGTCATGTTCAAGGAAAAGACTCACCGATATCCACTGGGTCAAGGGAGCTGATGCCCGCCAGGCTGTATGCCAAGCTCTTCCATCTGCAGGACCAAGACGCTGAGCTTCACTCTTTATAGACAGAGCCCCACCCAGCCACCCCTGCCTGCCCTCCTCCCTTCCTCCTCCTCCACACCTGCACTCTCAGCCTCTGGAATTCTCCCTCCTCTACAGCAAGCTCCGGCCTCGACTCACAGGCCCCCTTGCCTCCCCACTCCCCATCCCAGGCTTGCCAGCCAGCACCCCTACTGTCTCCAGAAAGGGCCCTTTTTCCCCCGTTTCCCTCACCTGCACACACCTGGTGGACGCTGGCTGCCTGCAAACAAGGCTCAGACTGCCTTGAGCCCCCAAAGCAAGCCCTTACCTTCATGCTTCCCCCACCCTCAAGCTACCTGTTCCCTGGTGGGTCCCTGACTTTCCCTCTCCTTCCACACCAGAGTTAGGTAACTTAGCACGTCACAGAAATCCTCTGGTTGTGACCACAGGCACATCCATAGAAACAGAAAGTAAATTATCGGTGGCCATAGGATGGGGGAAGGGGAGAATGAAGGAGTGACTTCGAGAGGGTATGAGTTTCAGAACAAAAGTTCTGAAATTAGATGCGAGTGATGGTTACGTAACTCTATGAATATAGTCAGCACGGTACAAGGGTGCACTTCCCACCGGTGAACAATCCCAACACGAAATGAACTTTCTAGGCCAGGCATGGTGGCTCAGGTCTGTAATCCCAACACTTTGGGAGGCCAAGGCCAGAGGATCGCTTGAGCCCAGGAGCTCAAGACCAGCCCCGGTAACAGAGAGAGACCTGCGTCATTATAAAAAATTTTTAAAAAATTAACCCGACGTGGTAGTGCATACCTGTAGTCCCAGCTACTGGGTAGGCTGAGGTGGGAGGATTGCTTGAGCCCAGGAGGTTGAGGCTGCAGTGAGCCGTGATCATGCCACTGCACTCCAGCCTGGGCAACAGAGCAAGACCCTGTCTCAAAAAATGAAAAAAACGGTGACCGGGCACAGTGGCTCACACCTGTAATCTCAGCAGTTTGGGAGGCCAAAGCAGGCGGATCCCCTGAGGTGAGGAGTTTGAGACCAGCCTGGCCACCATGGCAAAACCCCATCTCTACTAAAATTACAAAAATTACTCGAGCGTGGTGGCGGGCACCTGTAATTCCAGCTACTCAGGAGGCTGAGGCAGGAGAATCGCTTGAACCCGGGAGGCGGAGGTTGCAGTGAGCCGAGATTGCACCACTGCATTC